TAATGGAGAGCTCTTGACGACAATCGTGAGTCACAGGGTGGTGTAAGAGACGGTCTGAAGTTTCCCTCATTTGCCTCACGACTGTCGCAAGGACAGAGACCAAGACCCTGTCATTGTTTGATTTTAGTTTTGATTTATCAGCAATCTTATTTCTTATAAATGGAGAATGATGAAACGGTTAACACAATTGACATCTGTAATTAATGCACACAACCTGGCTGATGTCCTCTTCCCTGTGGAAATCCCCACGGTTATTGACACAAGCCGATTATAAAATTTAAATGTGTGGTTTTGAAATTATTTTTTTTCTGTACTCTTGTGAAAATCAGTTTTGATTTTTTGTGATTTCTTTTGATTATTTAAAAAATTGTTTCAATGAATATTGATTGTATCTGTTTATTGTTTCCTATTTTTGCTTTTTCCTATTTTTATTTTCCTTCTTTTCCTCTCTCTTTTTCTGTGTACTGTCTCTGTTTTCCAGGATATGCTACCAACACTGAGTCCCGAAGACTTTGCAACGACACTACAGAACCCTGCTAATGGAGAGCTCTTGACGACAATCGTGAGTCACGGGGTGGTGTAAGAGACGGTCTGAAGTTTCCCTCATTTGCCTCACGACTGTCGCAAGGACAGAGACCAAGACCCTGGAGACCCTGAGCCCCCACAAAAATCCATAGCACCAACATTTAGCCCAGAAAAGCTCAGTAACACCAAGCTTCAGCCCCAGTGAAAATTGTGGATCCCCTTCCCTGGTCACAGCTGCATGTAGGAGGGGGCAACGCTCCTAGGGCTGGGAGGGAGGCTGCAGACACAGGGAGAAGTGGAACCTTGTGGTGCCTCCTGTTTTGGCTCCTCCTCCTGCTCCCGTGTCCCTACTCTTCCTCACGCTCCTCTTCCTCCTGCTATTCCTCCTTCTCCTGCACAATCCCACCTTCTCCTCCCACGTGCAGCGTTTGACCATTTTGTTCCTCAACCCTGCTTCTCCTTCCCTTCTCCTCCTGCCCCAGGCCCAGCACCGGCTCAGCACCCACTACCAGCTCCCCCTTTCCCCCAAACCCGCAGCATCCCACTCGAGAGGGGTGCTGCCTGAGGGGTGAGACTGCTGCAAGGGGGAACACCCTGCTCCAGAGGAGGTGTCCCGCAAAAGGGGGACCTCCATGAAAGGAACAAGAGGAAAACGTCTTTACAAACAAATGCTGCGAATGTGCTCAGAGATAGAGCCAGACACTTGGACATAAGGAAGTGACAGAAAAAGCCATCAATTTCAGAAAATGTTATTAATTGATGACAAAGACTGCTGCTCAGCCAAGGTCCTGCTCAATTCATGAACTTGGAAAAGAACAACAGACTTCACAGAGCCATGAATATCGTTTGCTATACAAAAGTGGGGAGCATGTTAAAGGGCTATGTAGTAGGTGGATTGGGATGGCTGTATCTCTCAAGTACTTCAGCCAATGGGGAAAAGGAGAGAGAGATGTGGACAGGAAAATTAGGATGAAAAGGACGCTGCATCCTCCAACAATTGGAGACCCCATGGGAAATGTCCCATGGCCTCTTCCTTTTTTAGGAATGAAATTACTTTGAGAGAACTCCTCTGTCTGCTTTGTGGACAGAATGCTCTGGTGATGTCAATTTTTCCACACACCTTGGGACTCATCCAGGGCGGGGGGCAGTGAGTGCAGCTGAAGGTGCCTCACCCAGTTTGGGTGATCGGCTCCCTTGGGCGGTGGCGGCACTGGGGATTGATTGGGGACCCGAGAGTGACCAGGAGACAGACAAGTGACACATCAGGGGGGCTGTCAAGAGTCAGCAGGGAGAGAGCACTGAAAATCTCATCCATGAGTGCACTGGGATCTTTGAAGAGTGAACGTGGCAGGGCACCCATGGAGGGAGGAAAAGGGAAAGCCAGGAAGGGGTCCTGTGACAAAGGGATGATGATCCCAAAATACCTCTGAAGGGTCCCTTGGCAGAATGTTGAGGGAGTTTGCACATTTTCCCAGAGGTAATGAAGAACATGGACACCCAGGGGAATAATAAGGGAAGTGGAGAAGGGATTTGGACAACAGGGAATGGATAGGGTTGGTGTGCTGGGAAGGGACTGGGTGAAGGGGAGTGTGCAGCTATTTGGTTAAGGCAGGAAGCAGCAGGAGGAATCTGTGTGGTAAGAAAAAGGATGATGGAAAAGAGGAGGAAGAGAAAAATACTGAGGACTGAGACATCTGGTTTGCGACAGCGTCTTAGCCTCAAAATTTGCCAGCTGATCCAGGTACTTTCTATCCCCAGTTTCCAGGAGAGGCAAACAAGGAGGTGAGGATGTCAGGGGGTTTCTCTGTGCTGGGCAGCGGCAGCAGCGGGCGCAGAGCTGCGGCACCGGGAGCACGGGCTGGGGGCCTGTGGGGAGCTGCGGGGCCGGGCCGGGGCTGTGGGGCAGCCGGGGCTCAGCGCCGGGCGCTGCCTGACCCCAGCAGCCCCGGGCAGGGCCGGCAGTGGCCCCCGGCCCCCAGGAGGCTGCGGGACGCCCCGGCCGCTGCCCGGCCCCGTGGAGCTGCCGGCCCTGCCCGCCGGGGGGGCCGCCTTTGGACACTGCGGCAGGACAGGGACCGGCTCTGGGATGCGGCTGGGGAGGGGAGCCTGAGCACAAGGACAACAATGAAGAAACATCTGGGAATAGTGGATTATAATGGAAGGATCGGGATTTTACTTGGGTTGCTGGAGAACGAATGATTCTGCAGAAAGCTCAACAGCTGTCAGAGGATGAGCACCCACAGGCAGTGAGGGGGCTGCAGGAGTGGCACAAGAAGGCCCTGCAGCACTTGGGCACAAAGGCACAGCAGGTGAATGCAAGAAGGGAGCAGGAAAAGGCCAAGCTGAAGGCAAAGGCCATGGCACAGCTCCTACAGCCCCTGAGGGATCAACCCCAGGGCCCAAGGGGGTCCCAGCACCCAGGGGACGTGCTGGGCCACAAGCACCTGGCACAGGCATTGCCCTCCTGGGCAGGGGAGGGCCCACCCAAACAGCCCCTGGGAAGGAATCAGGCTTCCAGCTGCAGGGCACAAGGACACTGCAAGCACAGACAGCAGCACCCTCAGGAGGAGCAAGTGCACCCCTTGATGGACATGGATTGGCAGGGGGCTCACAGCTCCCATCACACCAGGGACCCACCACACTGGAGCCCTTGACAACATTCAGGTCTGGATTGAGAGAAGACTTTTCCTGATGGACACAGGGGCCTCTCAATCCACTGTGAATTTTAGACCCAAGGTGGGAAAAATGTCCAAAAGATCTTTGGTTATTGAGGGGATAAGTGGGAAAGAGGAGTGGTGTCACCCTGATTTTTCTTCGATTTTCTGAACCTTATGTTTACATTCTTGTAGCAAGAATTTTTACTTTCTGTAAATAACTTAGTGTTTTGCATTTTTTTATGGTGGTGGAGAAATTTGATGGACTGTTGGTCTGTGAATTTGGGTGTCAGCTCCGTGCTGGAGTGAACAGCAGTGCTGCTGCAGCTGCCCTGGAATGGGACAGCAGCAGTGGAGGGCAGTTCCTTAGGAAATGTGTGCTGGGGAAAAAGGGAATTCTGTGCAAACATGCCTGGAGGTGTCAGCTCCCAGGAAAAGCCAAACCACAGCTGGCTCCGTGTTCACTTTTCAACAAGGAAATGACTTTTTCTTGCTTTTTAATAATTTAAACCTAGTGGAACTCGATGGGAGTGTTGGGTGTTGTGTGGAAGGAAATCTATAAATGTTGGAGTTACAGAATAAACTTCAAGGTAAAACTTGAGAACAGCAGCGTCTTCACGTAGCATTTTTTCTTGTCCTACAGTGACATCCGGTGACCGCCGAAATGTACTGCAGCCTAGGCTGGAGACAGAGTCCACACTGCCAGGTGAGGTTGTGTCGTTTAGCCCCCTCTCTCTGTTTGGCGCTTTGCCTGCCGCTCTTGTGGTAAGGAAAGCTTCTGTGGGTGTCATGGTGGAGTCTCTGGTTTTAGACCTCTGGAGGGATCTCCTGGAGTGGAAACGAGTCTCTGTTTTCTGGAATGATTTTGAGAGATTGTTTCTGTGGGCCAGGCAGCAAGGATTTATTTCCACCCCGGCGGAGCAGCTGTCCAGGAGACGTGGTCTCTCGTGGGAGGACATCTCATGGACGCTCTGTTTGATGATTGCTCTGTAGATGTGGGACCACTGCTGATGCAGTGGAAAATGTTAGCTGCAGTTTGGTGGGGGACCTGCATTTTAGAGCTCTCAAAGCTCCCTGGAGGACCCTTCTATCTTGGATGTCGATGAAGGGGAATTTGAGTTTCTGCGCGATGCAGAAGCTTTCCCTTCCCCCAAGGACAGTGAGCTGGAAGATGGCTCTGCCTCCGGTGGTGACATTTATTCCCCCAGGGGCAATTGGGCTCCCAGCCAGCTGGTCCCAGGTGACAGCCAGTGGGCAGAGCCCCACAGGAATCTGGGGGCTTGGTGGAGCCGGCTCGGCCGCCCCGCCTCGCCCTGTGCCGCGGAGGTGGCAGGGCTGGGGGGAACCGCTCTCTCTTTGTGCCTTCCTGGCGCTCGGGGTTGATGCCCTAGATTCAGCCTCCGCCTCTGACTGAGTCTGATTTGGTGACAACGTTCTGTCTGAATTGCGGTGTTTCCACGACAATATCCCCTGGGGGCGTCAGGAGTGGGTTCACCCACTCTGGACTTGGACTTGTCTTCCAGGGGAACGGTTCCTCCTGTTTCTGAGCCTGCGCAGCCTGCCAGGCATGCATACGCAGTGGAAGCCGCTGGAGGCAGGGTGTTGGTTGGTGTTCTGTCAGGCCTCGCTCCAGCAGGCAGGCAGCCCACCCCACTCCACTCAGCGGGGGCGGTGCCCGCTGTGGGACCCCACGTCATGGGTCGGACTCTCACTGGGGCTCTGCCAGCCTCCCTTGTGTTGCCATGCGGTGACGTGGCTCTGCGTGCCACGTCTCTCTCTGCGCCCCACCCCTCTCCGGGTTCACCCACTCTGGACTTGGACTTGCGGCTGGTGGTAGACCGGAGGGTTCACAGGGCTGTGGACCCTCCTTGTCGGCTTTGTCGACTCTCCCCCTGTGCTAGGTGACCGTGCATCCAAACACGGGCGATTCTGGTGAGAAGTCCGAGCTAAGGCTGAGGAGGTGGGCAAGTCTGCCTTCTCGCAGCGTCTGCAGGATTGTGGAGGAGGCTCCTCTGGCTCTGCTGATACTGTGGAGGGCACGGTGCCAAGTGGTGTTGCACTGCCTCGCAGTCAGGCAGCTGCCCTTGTCCCTGTGGGGCCCATGAGGATGGCGCACAGCAGGTGCAGACGTGGACGTGCACAGCTCAGCAGGTGCAGACGTGGACGTGCACAGCTCAGCAGGTGTGGACGTCTGCACCCTTACCAGGGGGTCCCCAGGCTTTCCCTGTGCTCAGGGTTGTTACTCATGACACCCATCAAATCTCTATCGTTTAAGACAGCAAAGGAAGTCCGTGATACAGTTGTTCAACATGGTGTGGGGTCTGCTGAAGTTATGCACTTTCTCCGAATGCTTGCTACTGATGTGCTGACACCTTACAACACCTGTGCTATGGCATGTGGTCTTTTTGACCCTGTGGAATTTGATGTTTTTGAGACCAAGTGGGCTCGCTTGGCAGCCAGCGCAGTCCAGCAGAATGCTATGCTGGGACCACAGGATCCCAGGTGTGTGATTGGCACTGATGTGCTGTTGGGCACAGGCAATTATGTTGATCCTCAGGGGCAGGCAGGCTTCAATCCCCTCATGCTTGACCAGTGCCAGACAATAGGCATTGCAGCAATGGTTCAAACCCAGGAAATGACTTCTCCAAATCAGCCATTTGCAACCGTTGTCCAGGGGGCTGATGAGCCTTTCATGAAATTTGCAGGGAGGCAGATTGCCTCTGTGGAGAGGCAGTTGGCAGATCCTGAGGCAAGGAGACTTGTGATTGCAAACCTTGCGAGAAGTAACTGCAATGCAGATTGCAAGATAATCATAGAGGCTCTTCCTGGGGAGCCTACTGTCCCAGAGATAGCAGAGGCCTGTGCAAGCATAGGCCCCTCAGGTCAGAAGATGGCTCCCTGGGCTATGCCACAGGGCAGCCAGCGACAGCAGGGGAATGCTCAGGCCAGCAAAAAGCGGGGGAAGGAAGCACAGAAGGCCAAAATTCCCATGTTCTTGTGTGGCCAGTGTGGAAGGCCAAACCATATGACGAATGTCTGCAAGGCGACCGTTCATATTAACGGCCAGTCTTTGCCGGGCTCAGGAAACGGGAAGCGGAGCGCGAAGGGGAGACATGCCCAGGCACAAGCTTCTCTCCAGACCCCAGAGCCGATGGAGATTTGCTCAGCCAGCTTGCAGCCAGCACTCGCAGCTCAGCAGGTGTGGACGTCTGCACAGCAGCAACAGTTGTTTTAGAATCTTGTCAAGTACACAAAGTTCCCCTGGATGCCTTTGGTCCCCTGGGTGGGGGCATGAGTGCTCTCCTTATGGGGAGATCTAGTGCCATTCTTCAGAGCATCATTGTGCACTTGGGACTCCTTGATACAAATTTCACGGGACAGATTTGTGCCTTGGTCTCCACACCCACCCCCCCGTCACTATCCTGAAAGGGACGCAACTTGCTCAGCTTGTGCCTTTTAAGTCCTCTATTTGCAGGACAGCTGACCGCTCGCGTGGAGTTGGTGGCTTTGGATCCATTGGGCCGCCTCAAGTTCACTGGAACACTGTCCTGACCAAGGAACGTCCCGAGATGCTGTGTACCCTGTCCATCCCTGGTGCGACGCCGTCAGAGATTCGCCTCCATGGGCTTCTCCACAGTGGCACTGACATCACCGCTCTCTCCCTTGCCCCCTGGCCCCTGTACTGGCCCCTGAATCCGGTGGAGACGCCTGTCACGGGACTGGGGGGAACGGCGTGATGTTCTGTGAGCCAGCAGTCCCTGCTGGTCACGAACCCGGAGGGACAGATGGCCTGGATCAGGCCTCATGTTACTTCTACTCCTGCTAACCTCTGCGGGAGGGATGTTCAGTCAGCGTGGGGAGTGCGCATCGGGACAGGTTTTTGATGGGGGCCACTGCGATGAAGGGTGCAGAGTGTCCTACGCCTCCTATACAGTGGTTGGTGGACAAACCTGTTTGGGAAAACCAGTGGCCGCTCCCTCAAGATAAATTGGTCGCCCTTCGAAATCTGGTACAGGAGCAGTTGGACCAGGGTCATCTGGAGCCTTCTTCCAGTTGCTGGAACACTCCTGTCTTCTGCATCACAAAAAAATCAGGGAAACGGAGGTTGTTACAAGACCTCCGAAAGGTCAATGCCGTGATGGAAAGCATGGGAACATTGCAGGCGGGCATGACATCGCCTACCATGCTTCCCACAGACTGGCTGGTCCTCACTGTGGATCTGAAGGATTGTTTCTTTACAATTCCTTTGTATCCCGATGACAGTCCAAAATTTGCCTTCTCAGTGCCAGCAATTAACAACGCTGAGCCCACACAGAGATATCAATGGAGGGCCCTTCCCCAGGGCTTGCAAAACTCTCCTGCCATATGCCAATGCCATGTGGCTCGGCTCTTGTCTGGAGTTTGCAAGCAGTTTCCCGATGCCCATCTTAACCATTATATGGCCAACATTTTGGTGGCTGCATCCAGCCAGGATGAGCTGCTGAGGATTCAGCCTCGGTTGCTCAATGCTTTGCATGCACGTGGACTGCAGGTGGCTCCAGAAAAGGTTCAACAGCAACCACCTTGGAACTATTTGGGGGTCAAAATTCTGGAACAGACAATCTGTCACCAGGAGGTGCAATTTGTGCATTCCGTGAAGACACTGAATGACGCTCAAAAATTTGTAGGTGTCATCACTTGGTTACGTCCGTACCTGGGACTGACAGACAGACAATTGTCTCCTCTGTATGATTTGTTGAAAGGAGACTGATTTAAAGTCACCTCGCACATTGACCCCCGAGGCGCGTCAGGTTCTGGAGGTGGTTCAGCGAGCTGTTCCTGCTTGCCAGGTTTATCGCATTGATCCCTCTGTTGATGTCACTGTGTTCATTACCACTCCAGATTTGCATCCCACAGGCATCACTGGCCAATGGAGTGACAAATGGTTCGATTCCTTGAACATCTTGGAATAGGTCTTCTTGCCCCATCAGCTGCAAAAGACGGCAACCCCATTAATGGTCTGAGTTCATTGCTCGCTTAATAATCAAATGCCAACAATGGTGTTTGCAATTGATGGGTGCAGATCCTGCACAAATCATACTCCCAGCACAGCGGGAGGATTTTGACTGGAACTTTGCAGTGTGTCCCCGCAGAGTGTTCTGGAAAACTTTACAGGGCAGACCACTTATGTGCCCAGCCATAGGCTACTGCATATGGCAAAATCCACACAAATCTCTTTGCGGCCCAAAAGCAGTCTGCAACCCATGCAAGGACCCACCATCTTGACTGACAGTTCGGGGAGGACAGGAAAAGGCTTGTTACTTGGAGGGATGGATCTGAGTGGCAGGTCCTGGAAGGTCATGAGGATGGGTCAGCCCAATTGATTGAAATGAAAGCTGCTGTCAACCTTCAAGCAACCAGGGCAAGTGGTGTCTAAAAGCAACACCCTGTTCCAGGGGATGGAAGGAAGGGAAATGGACAAAGTGGGGGTCACCGCCCCATGGCCAGCTGAGCCAGCGGAGCTGTGTGTGCTTGTGAGAGCCTGGCACTGAAATGCCCTGAGCAGGAAGGCTTCAATATCTTCTGCTTGACACCATGACACCTAACAGGGGGGCAAGAGCAATTCTGGCTGCTTCAGCAATCACTAAACCACTTATTAGGGTATTTCTAAAACAAATAATTCCAAGACAAGGGATTGTGGAAGCAATAGACTCAGATGGGGAACTCATTTACAAGAAAGATCTTCAGGGGGTTATGGCAGCTTTAGGAATCCAATAGGATTTCCATAACCCTTGACACGACCAGAGCTCAGGCTGGGTAAAAAGAATGAATGGGGAACGAAAGAAACACCTTTGGAAGCTGGTGATAGAAACCAAGATGCCATCGGTGCAGCTTTTGCCACTGACTTTGGCAAGAAGAGGAGAAAGATCCAGGGCAGAAATTCAATTGTCTCCCTTGCATATCATACCTGCAATTCCTTACCCTGCTAATTCTCCACCAAGTGCAGGGTGCACATAAGGGATGTACATTTAAGGCAGGCTGTGGCCAGAATCCTGTCTCCTGTGAAATCTCTCCCACAGGAAGCTGGGCTGGCACAGAGCCTGCCTTGGCACTTTGCAGCTCCCAACACCCAGCCAGGACATCGGCTCCTGCCTAAGGAGGGCAAAGCAGCAGCACTGGTGGCCAAGTGGCCCATGCCAAGTGTCCCTGAGGCCAGAAACAGCCGCCAGCACAGCTGAACACGGGGGGACCCCTCAGCCTGGGCTCCAGGCTCTGCAGCCCCGGAGATTTGCACTTCCCGCCTGCAGCAGGAGGATGGCAGGCCGCCCCTCAGCCTGCACTCAAGGCAACGCAGCAGCAGCCAGGGCTCCACAGCGGGCCAAGCCCCTGCGCCTGCCCACACATCCTCTGCTGCAATCCTCGGCCTGGCCACCCTCCTCTGCCAGCTCCAGCCACCGGGGCCAATCCTTGCTGCCACTGCTGCAGCTTCAGCGCTGGCTGGGCCTGCACTCGCCACAGCTGCTGGGGAACACCACGGCACAATTCCACTCTGCCTCTCACCTACACTCACACACTGGGCTGCCTGCCGTGGCATTGATGGAAAATACACCAACGTTATTTCTTTTAAAGCTTCTTTCTCTACTCAGGCTTGAAAAGCATTGTACACCATCATCTTACGGTGCCGCAGAACTCAAATAATCCTCTCATTTTGAATCATCATCTCTTAATGCAAGCTGTGGACGAAGCACATCAGCCTCGAGCCAAAGTTCGGGTGCAGAATTTAGTCACCAAACCGTGGGAAGACCCCTATGATCTTATTGCTTTGCAGCGTGGGTATGCTTGTATATCCACAGATACTGGGGTACGCTGGGTACCTTTGAAGTGTGTTTGCCCTGACCTGCAACCACAGAGACAGAATCCAGCCGACAGGCAAAATGGAAACCGTGACCAACCTGAAAGGCATCACCTGGGTGAATCGAGTGATGACCCAGATGCAGACGATGCGAGTGATCAGTCCAATGATTCCTCCACAAATGGACATTGAACCCTGTTCATTTTTCTTTTTTCATATTATTCATTTTTGCTTTTGTCTTTTCTTTTTAATTGAGAAGGGTGAGATGTCGCCCTGACTTTTTTACGATATTCTAAGCCTTGTGACATTTACATTCTTGTAGCAAACTTTCTCACACTTTCTGTAAATAACTTAGTGTTTTGCATTCTTTCATGGAGGAGGAGAAATTTGATGGACTGTTGGTTTGTCCAGTGTCATTGGAGAGGTGGCACTTTCACCCTCCAATCCACTGTCACCTTTGGAAATCTATAAATGTTGGAGTCACAGAATAAACTTCCCTTTTTTACCTTGAGAACAGCAGTGTCTTCACGTAGCATTTTTTCGTGCCCTATAGTGACAGAGTGATTTTATTCAACCACTGTTAGCAGGTATGGCAGATGGGTTTGAAATGCATGAATTTTTATTTGCTTCTAATTGTGATTATCATTTACTGGGAAGGGATTTACTTGCTAAATTGGAAATGGACATTAATATTATCAAAGGTGATACAAAGGCTACTTCTGTTGTACCCCTGTGTCATATGTCTGGCAAGGCCTATGCTGAAGTGAACCTAGAAGTGTGGGCACCCTCAGGGAAAGAGGCAAAATTAGATATGGAGCCTCTCCAAATTACTTTCAAGCAACCAGGGCAAGTGGTGTCTAAAAGCAACACCCTGTTCCAGGGGATGGAAGGAAGGGAAATGGACAAAGTGGGGGTCACCGCCCCATGGCCAGCTGAGCCAGCGGAGCTGTGTGTGCTTGTGAGAGCCTGGCACTGAAATGCCCTGAGCAGGAAGGCTTCAATATCTTCTGCTTGACACCATGACACCTAACAGGGGGGCAAGAGCAATTCTGGCTGCTTCAGCAATCACTAAACCACTTATTAGGGTATTTCTAAAACAAATAATTCCAAGACAAGGGATTGTGGAAGCAATAGACTCAGATGGGGAACTCATTTACAAGAAAGATCTTCAGGGGGTTATGGCAGCTTTAGGAATCCAATAGGATTTCCATAACCCTTGACACGACCAGAGCTCAGGCTGGGTAAAAAGAATGAATGGGGAACGAAAGAAACACCTTTGGAAGCTGGTGATAGAAACCAAGATGCCATCGGTGCAGCTTTTGCCACTGACTTTGGCAAGAAGAGGAGACAGATCCAGGGCAGACATTCAATTGTCTCCCTTGCATATCATACCTGCAATTCCTTACCCTGCTAATTCTCCACCAAGTGCAGGGTGCACATAAGGGATGTACATTTAAGGCAGGCTGTGGCCAGAATCCTGTCTCCTGTGAAATCTCTCCCACAGGAAGCTGGGCTGGCACAGAGCCTGCCTTGGCACTTTGCAGCTCCCAACACCCAGCCAGGACATCGGCTCCTGCCTAAGGAGGGCAAAGCAGCAGCACTGGCGGCCAAGTGGCCCATGCCAAGTGTCCCTGAGGCCAGAAACAGCCGCCAGCACAGCTGAACACGGGGGGACCCCTCAGCCTGGGCTCCAGGCTCTGCAGCCCCGGAGATTTGCAACTTCCCGCCTGCAGCAGGAGGATGGCAGGCCGCCCCTCAGCCTGCACTCAAGGCAACGCAGCAGCAGCCAGGGCTCCACAGCGGGCCAAGCCCCTGCGCCTGCCCACACATCCTCTGCTGCAATCCTCGGCCTGGCCCCCCTCCTCTGCCAGCTCCAGCCACCGGGGGGGGACCCCTCAGCCTGGGCTCCAGGCTCTGCAGCCCCGGAGATTTGCACTTCCCGCCTGCAATAGGAGGATGGCAGGCCGCCCCTGAGCCTGCACTCAAGGCAACGCAGCAGCAGCCAGGGCTCCACAGGGGGCCAAGCCCCTGCGCCTGCCCACACATCCTCTGCTGCAATCCTCGGCCTGGCCACCCTCCTCTGCCAGCTCCAGCCACCGGGGCCAATCCTTGCTGCCACTGCTGCAGCTTCAGCGCTGGCTGGGCCTGCACTCGCCACAGCTGCTGGGGAACACCACGGCACAATTCCACTCTGCCTCTCACCTACACTCACACACTGGGCTGCCTGCGGGTGCAGTGATGGAAAATACACCAAGGTTATTTCTTTTAAAGCTTCTTTCTCTACTCAGCCTTGGTCTGCCTTTGCCTTGGGGAAAGGAATTTTAAAGGTTTCTTTTAAGGCATTTCACACCACTGAACAGAGTTGAGTTTAACATCCCAACAGACTGGGAACAGCCCAAAAGACCACAAGATACCCATAAATAACGACCAGCAACAAAACATCAACGCCCAGCAGCAAACAGCAACCAACAGCTACCCCAGACACTGCCCCTGGCAGAGCTGGAGACACCTGCTCTGGAAAAGGCTGAGAAGGAAATCCACGAGTGTGGACCTAATGAACAGCAGAGGGGAAGAAATCC